AAGGGGGACAGAGCCACGCAGAAGGTTTCTCAAGTCCCCAACAGTGAGTCTGGAATCCAGGTCTGGGTCCATGTTCCTGAGAACAGGGTTGAGGTCCTGAAGAGATTAAGGTCAAAGGTCAAAGGAATACCGAGGCATTTACCAAAAATGAGGGGGTAAACATTCTAACAGTGGGCAGGTTTTACCTGATTGTTCAGCTGTTCATGCAGACAGGGATGATCACTCAAGTCTGTCATGACATTGGCTCCACCCACACTGTCATGCTCCTCCCCCTCTTGCTGTTGAAAAGCTAAACAAAAAAATTTTAAAAAATAGGTAACAAAAACAACCGAGGGAAATCTGGTCAATTTACAATAAACTGATCAGTGCACAGCTGTGACAGAAACTGTGTTGCTTTGCAAAGATTAAATCAATGTTGTCAATATTGTAGTCATTAGTCAAGAGTTGCTGCTAAACTGGTAAAAAATATCTGCGCTTGCTCAGCATTAAGGTTGAAAACATCATGTAATCTCTCCTCAGCATGTAATCTTTGCTTTGCATAAAGATTGTGCAAAGCAAAACATTCATGTTCCCCCTGGTTCTTCTGGCTGTCAGAGTCAGAATGTGTGGGAGAAAAAGAGCGTACTTTACCTTTATGAATAAAGTTGGGCTCTGTGATTTTCTGACTTCCTGTCTCTTCATCAGACTTTAGGCTCTGGCAGAAAAAACACAGAGGTCAGTAATGGAAACTTGGACGACGTAAAGAGTGTGTAGTAATGAAGGAGTGTTTGTGTGTGTGAGAGAGAGAGCGAGAAAGAGAGAGAGAGGGAGTGAGAGATCAAACAAAATTCCTCAGAAGTTCTTATTCCTACCAGGAATGTGTCACGCCAAACAGATTATTGTGTTTAAACCTCTCTGTGAGGAACCATTACTTTTTCATCTTTTCAAAGTTTTCTACCAAAATGATCTAATTAGGCTGGTCATCATTGAATTCCTCTGGTTTTAAAGTGGTGCCAGGGAATCGTTTGTCAGGATCATTGTTTGATCCTCTGTATTAATTTGCAGTCATTAGTTAACAATAGAAAAAATGTTGAGAGAGAAGACAAACACAAGGTTGAAATTCAGAAAAGAAAAAAAAAACAACAACATTATATAGTAACTTTTTAACTTAAAAAAAACACTAACATTTAAACAAACTGGTTGAACAGTTGGAGAAAGAGACGGTACCAAATTTACAACATTGAAACTGTTATATAAAGTGAAAGTTATACAACACACACACACACTTCTATACACTCATGTCGAGCAGATTGGCCACTCAGACAAACACAGAATGAAATTCCAGCACTGTCTGCCAGAAGCCACATTCCTCCCAATCCTACTTCCTGAAAAACCTCAACGCCCAAAACCACAAAAACCTCCACCACTGACCACTCCCATCACCACACCAACCCCTCCCATCTTCAAACTGACACCATCCTCCCTTTCCAGGTATCCACAGCTACAGAGTCAGAGAACATCTGGATGTTTGAGACAAATCCTTAGACGGTATTGAAAAAAGAAACAGAACACGTTCTGTTTGAGGCTGTGGATACAACACAGAGCCCAGGGAAGAGCAACGCTGGTTTAAGAAAGAATTATTAGTTCTATTAACATCAACAACTGCTCTGTCCAGCCTTTTTGTTTTTAACAGTCTATGAAAAAACCTCACATATTAACGGCAGTGTAAACTCCTCAAAAAACAAAAACACCTCAAAGGTGAGCCGCTCTCACCTCGACGCTCTCTAAAGACGTGGATCGTCTCAGTTTGGCTCTGCGGACCCCAGCCTGCAAATAGTCAGTGGTCTCAGTTGTGGATGGTGCTGAGTCCTCAGAGTCCTGGCTGAGAGTGCCGACAGATTTAATATCAGGTCGAGAACGGCGTCCGTAACGCTTTGTTCCCTTCACAAACTTTGGCTTAACTTCATCTGGGACGACTGTGGAGCGAGAGGACAAAGTGAGGACGGACTGAGGACAGAAGAACCCCTGAGAGCAAATATAAACAGACTGAAAAACAAAAAGAGGACAGTCTGAGGACAATATGATGGCGTCTGTGAGGACAAAATGAAAATACAAGACATGGTGACAGGAGAATGAGGAAGAACAAACAATAGAAGACACATTTAGAAGACAAAATAAAGACAAATGGGAACAGAGTCACAATTATGGGCTATATTTGAAACGTAAGCCGTGGACGGTCTGTGCTACCTGGCTCTAGGGGACAGCTGTTGTCCTCCGATGGACTGACATCCAGAGATCGAGACAACAAGGAGACAAAGCCGTCCTTAAAATCCTGGAAGTTCACCTGAGGCGGACAGAAACAAAGACATGTCAGCATTAGGCATCACCTGGACGACATCGTCATTTTTTTTGTATCAAATTACTCACCCTGCTGCTAGCGCACTCTCCCAACAGCAAGTGGATGAGCCGCGGCAGCTCAGCCTCCAGCTGCAGTTTGCGGCAGAGCGCCACCAGCTGGTCTCTGTCCAGGAAGCCGCTCGCTGAAGAGTCGCAGCTGTCGAACTCTGCCTTCAGCTGGGCCACATAGTGGCTGTGCTCCGCTTCTCCCATTGTGATGCATCACATTGGGATGCCATTATCTGGAAGTCGTCAGAGACAGAAGTTATTTTCCATGGGCAAAAAGATGCCAAATAAAACTGTCAGTTTGGTACTTTGTGTCATTTTTTTTTTTTTAATTTTATCTCTTTCTTATAATTCCTGCTCTGCTAGCTGGGACAGTCCTTTTGTGGTAATTGACTTTCATTTTCTTTCCATTTTCAATCTAACTCTAATTGTTAGTTTGATGCTTCTTAGTAATGTTTTGTAGTTTTGTGTGTTTGTGTGACTGTAGTCTTTGTTTCTTTCTCTGTGGCGGATTTCTTCCGTTTTGTGGTTGTTTGATGTCAGTGGATTTTTTTAGTTTTATTTTTATAATTCCTGCTCTGCTAGCTGGGACAGTCCTTTTGTGGTAATTGACTTTCATTTTCTTTCCATTTTCAATCTAACTCTAATTGTTAGTTTGATGCTTCTTAGTAATGTTTTGTAGTTTTGTGTGTTTGTGTGACTGTAGTCTTTGTTTCTTTCTCTGTGGCGGATTTCTTCCGTTTTGTGGTTGTTTGATGTCAGTGGATTTTTTTAGTTTTATTTCAGAAATGTTGTATTTTGAGTATCATTTTCGATCAATTTGTTGTTCTTATGGTCAATCACAGGGTTCATAAAACTTATGCTACACTCATCTGCTCCTTTAGCATTTTATACAAACATCACAATTTCGCCAAGAGTGCTGGACGTCACGTGTACGCACAGTAACAAAACGGTAGCACTCCAAGTCACATAACAGTGTCCGTTACATTACGGTCAACTCTCGAGAGACAAGTACATAATCTCGCGAGGTGGCGAGGCTTCACCATGGGAACGGAGCCGCGCGGACAAAGGCTGCGTGGACGAACACGTACAAAATGCATACAGAGATAGAGAGATAGATAGATAGAGACAGAGAGAGAGTAGCATAATCCAGGAAATTTTCCCTTTGAGCGAATTCACACGAACTATCAGGGTTCGCTGACAAACAGAGTAACAACTTTTTTTCTCACCACGGGCAAACTTCATTTTCTGTCCTTTTCCCCTTTTCTCCTGCGTCTTGTTCAGACTTCACGTTTCCTCCATAGCTTAAGTGGCCGTTTTTTCGCCAACATAACGCCGGACCATGGACCCTGGAGACGGCTAGTGTCCAGCGCCGCGGACTAAACTCTTAATGTTTATATACACACGCTTACTTCCGCTCAGAGCGTCCAAAGTAAAAGCACAGGAGGAAGTTTTTTTCTGCTATAGATTCATTTCTACGGAGAGGGACATGTGGGTAACGAGCACGAGATACTTTCTCGTGCTCATGAGATACTTTATCGTGCGCACTAGAAAGTGTATCTAAAACATTTTGCCACACATACATACAGGGTAATACGGAGCCCCTAAAGGGAGAAAGTATCTCGTGAGCACGAGATACTTTCTCTCTTCTTATTTCCCCCCACGTCCCTTTAGGGGCTCCGTACTAATCAGATACTGTTTTTTAAATTTTGTATTGCATTGTTGATACCAGCACCCAACAACCTGAAGAATTAAATTTGGCGTGTAGAAAGGTTGAAAAGAAACCTTGGGGGAAACCTTTCCCAAAATTCTAATTTTGCTTAAATTGAATAAAGATATAAAAACACCTAGGCCTGTCATCTTAGCCTAGTCATAGCTAAAACAAATGACTAATCTAGAATAAATATTTAAAGAAGACAGCTAGTTACAGTATATGTCATTGTGACACACATCAATGCACACACATCACCAAAGTGAACAGTGGGAAGCTTTTAAGCTGCTCAGGGACCCAAGGCTGTTTCCTTAACCACTAAGCCACCATTGCCATATAAAGTTAGTTTTGCAAGGTTTGGGATTTAAACCCACACTCACAGGTTCCCCAACCTGCGTCACTCTCTATGAGCTAGCCAGCCATTTTTACATATATTTGCACATATTTGCAGATAGACACAAATAGCTAATGGTTCTTTAAACAATAAAATCACCTTTAAAAAACTATATGTAAAGAAACATTGTTTATTATAGGAGGCCATACATTTTGTATATGGTCACTACACACCACCTCCCTGGTGAAGAAAGCCCAGCAGCGCCTGCACCTCCTGCGTCGGATGAGAAGCCCCCCCCCCTCCACCTTGCGTGTATTTCACACAATGTAATTGAATTAATTAATTTTTTGTAAATGTTTGTTTATTCACCCTCTAGACTTTTTTTTATTGTCATTGCACAGAAACACAAGACAACAGTGAGTCTGGCAACGAAATGTCGCTGCTTGGCAACTGAAGTATAAAGTACAAAGTACAAAGTACAAAGTACACAGCTTGTAGGCCATAAGTAATTACTTGTAAAACTTGCTAAAACTAATGGTAAATATACATGTAAATAGTTCAGAGGTGTGTTGAGACAAACTATAGTGTAAATATAAATATAAACAGTATGGAGTGACAAATGTTACAGGATGGAACAAATATAAATATAAACAGTGTGTAATATGGTACAGTAATATAAACTAATGGTAAATTAGTTTAGATATAATAGAGATAAACTATAGTGTAAATATAAATATAGACAGTATGGAAGTGACAAATATAACAGGATGGGATAAATATAAACAGTATGAAGTGGTAAATGTAAACAGGAATAAATAAGTAATAGTGCTGGAGCTGAGTCACAGAAATTGAACAGGAAACATTGCACAGTGATATTGCACTTAATTGCTTAGTAATCTTACACAATAGTATTGCACCTGTTTTTCGTTTAAGGACAGACTGTGGGTAGTTATTGTAGTTATAACAGCCTGATGGCCAGGAGAAAGAAACTGTTTCTGAATCCTGTTGTTCTGCAAAGAATGCTGTGGAACCTCCTGCCTGACACCAGCAGGGTGAACAGAACAACATTGTGGGGGTGGGTGGGGTCAGAGTGAACTTGGTGAGCTCTGTGTGCTACGTCCTGGATGGGGGGAAGTGGAGTCCCAATGATCTTCTCTGCTGTCCTCACCACTCTCTGTAGAGACTTCCAGTCTGAGGCCTTGCAGCTTCCGTACCAGACGGAGATGCAGCTGGTCAGCAGGCTCTCGATGGTCCCGATGGTGTGTAGTGACCAGCCGAGGTCGTCTGTGACGTGCACCCCCAGGAACTTGATGCTGGAAAACAAACCAACTTTGCAGATTCACTTTTCTTTGAGCAGTAATGTCTCTGGATACTTAGAGATGTGCTTTGGCAACTGTCTAGAATCAAAGTGAATCTGTGCCATTGTGAAAAGAACCACAGTGTTCTTCTTTATGACTGAGAATGGTTGATGGTGACAGTGCATAAAGAACACAATGCATGCATGGGATTGAGAATCAAGTTGGAAAGTATGACATTAAACAGTCCCACAGTAGATAAAAGGTGATAATTGCCTAAGCTGCTTTGTACTATTATATGTATTTAATTAACAAAAATGCCTCGGGGGGAATTAAGTTCAGAAGCACAACTTAAAGCACAGGTTCTTCCAGTTTATGTCACTCAGAGTTGTTACTCTGTCAGTTTAGACATCAGTGGATCAGAGCATCATGGCCGTGAACGTCCCTGGAGTGGTAATGATGGTGCTTTTCTACCTGCTGGTCCTCGGGACCGGGATCTGGGCTGCTTTCAAGTCAAGAAGGGAGCAGAAGAAAAGTAAAGCCAATAAAATGGAGATGGCTCTGCTGGGAAACCGAAGCATCAACTGGATGGTGGGGATCTTCACCATGACAGGTGAGAACACCTGAAATCAAATGGAAGAAACCCAACATACAGTATGTCTCAGTTTGTTTGTTTTTTTCAACTAATCAATTAGAAATAGATGGATAGATACTTTATTGATCCCAAAAGGAAATTAAGGCACTACAGTAATAAGAAATTAATTAATGTGCATGTTTGTCAATATGTGAGGATAAATATTTGATTGAGATAAAATAAATGTATTCTATTTAATTACTTATACAACTGTCGAACTGTTTTTGTTTTGTTTTGTTTTTTTAAACCTCTTCATCTTCCCTCTAGCTACGTGGCTTGGTGGAGGAACAATAATTGCCACAGCAGAGATGGTGTACACGCCCTCTATAGGTCTAATTGAAGCAGGCATCATGACTCTTGCATTCAGCATATCTTTTGTTTTATGTAAGTTTAAAACAATCATTGTAGTAAAAATGTGATATGACTGATTTCGTTGCAGTTTAGTCTTTGTGTCTCCTCTCTCTGCCTCTCTTTTCATTTTCTTTTCTTTTATTTCAGCCAGCTTCCTTTTGGTGTCTTCAAAGCTGATCATCTTCCACGATCTCACTCGAGCCCTTGTCTCTTACATTACCCATCATTTCATGTTTTCATCCCTGTTTCCCAGTCTTGTCTCTGATCTGTTCATTACTTACTCAGCTTTATGGAAATCTTAGAATCTTCTGGATGTGGAACACACCCCTCTTCCATTCCTGTACCCCTTTAACTGTTATGTTTTTATTCAATTTTGTTGAAATTCTTTCCTACTACCCTTTTTTACACAAGGTGGTCTGGTGTTTGCTAAACCCCTGAGAGAACTGAACTGCGTGACAATGATGGACCCCTTTTATTTCAAGTATGGAAAAGTGATAACAGCTGGACTCTCGTTGTCCTCACTTTGTATCGACTTGACCTGGTTTCCTCTTACGCTCACTGCGTTAGGTGAGTGATATTTGCAGTTTTATATCATTAGCTATTGTCACCAAAATGCCAGGACTTTATGCATATGTTTGAAATACTTTTGCACATACAGTAGTTGCCCTTTTACCTGCTACGTGTGGTGATTGGCTGTAGTAAAATGTGGAAAAGGGTAGAACTCCAGTAACACAACGTTTCTGACAGGAGGAACCATGAGTGTTATCTTGGACTTGTCCTACAATGTGTGTATCTGGATCTCTGCTTCTGTTGCCATCATCTACACACTGCTGGGAGGTCTCTACTCTGTGGCCTACACTGATGTCATACAGCTGATCCTCATATTCATCAGTTTGGTGAGTTTGTTGTATTTCTGAATCTAATATGAAGTTGGAGTTTTTCTAAA